CCCCAAAACCCCAAAACCCCAAAACCCCAAAACCCCAAAACCCCATTAGCTAGGCTTTGAATATAAGGCAAGGATAAAAAATCAATCCAATATTATAATTTTTCAATCATTATATTAAATATGAGCACGACTGAAGATCCTAATGCTGAAACTCAAGTAGCCAATGACGGTGGTGAGGGCAAGCAAGCTTTGTCAAAGGCACAAAAGAAAAAAGCTAAGGCCAAGGCAAAGCAACCAGAAGAAATTAAATAAGAAACAACAAATGCAGCTGGTGGAGATGCAGAGGAGACAAAAGAAGAGAAAGCTGGAGGCGGAGCAAAAGCTAAAAAAGGCAAAAAAGGAGCAGCCGCTGGTAGATCAGCTGTAGCTCTTTTGGCTTAACAGAGACTGAAAGAGAGGCAAGAGGAAGAGGAGAGAATTAGATTAGAAGAAGAAAGAATTAGAAAGGAAGAAGAAGAACTCGAAAGAATAAGATTAGAGGCAGAGAGGATAAAAAAGGAAGAGGACGAAAGAAAGAAGAAAGAGAAGAGGGATAAGATTGAAGAGTTAAAAAAGGAAGGAAAGTATTTAACTAAAGCTTAAAAATTAAAGTAAGAGGAGACTATGAGAAGAAGACAGCAACTCATTGACGCTGGAATGGTTAAAGCAGATGCATTTGATGATGAAAATGAGGAAGAGAAAAAGCCTAAGTCTATGATAGTGAGAAATAAAAAGAAGAAGGATAAGAAGAAGAACGAGACTGTAGATACTACAGCAACTGGAGATCAATCAGAGATCCATGCCAATGATAACAATGAGGGATATTCTTAAGATCTTTCTCAGAGTACCTAGGAATAAAGTTAGATTGAAACTAGCACTAAAAATGAAGAGTAAAAAGAAGAGGAGGAAGATGTCATTGACGATTGGGAAAATGCTGATGTTGATGAGATTACTTCTAAAATTGTATCAAAGAGTGCGAAGCAATAATCTACTAATGGAGGAAAGGCTATTAGAGAAGACGAGGAAGAAGATAAGTTTAATGATCTAGATTCAAAGTAAGAATCTAAGGTAGTAAAGGATGCAGGAAAGCAAAAGTCTTCAAAGGTTGCTACAAAGGAAGAAGAGAAAGTTGTTGATATCTTTTCAAGAGCTGCAGAATCATAAACTCAACAATAACTTATTAGAAAGCAGTAGAGACTAGCAGAAATATAAGCAAAAAGAGATGAAAGAGAATAATAAAAGCAAGACAGGCTCAAAAGAAAGAAGGATATGCAATAGAAACTGAGATGCCCAATCATCTGTATTTTGGGTCATGTAGATACTGGAAAAACTCTTATCCTAGATAAATTGCGACGAACAAATGTGCAAGCTGGAGAAGCTGGAGGTATTACATAGTAAATAGGTGCTACATATTTCCCAGAAGCTGCACTTAAAGAGCATCAAGAAAAATGTAAGGGAAGACTAGATATCGAATTACAGATTCCAGGCTATTAAATCATTGATACTCCAGGTCACGAGTCCTTCACAAATCTTAGATCAAGAGGTTCAAATCTTTGTGATATTGCTATTCTTGTAGTCGATATCATGCATGGATTGGAAAAGCAGACCCTTGAGTCATTGCAACTATTGCTAAACAAAAAGACTCCATTTGTAGTAGCGCTAAACAAAATTGATCGTATCTATGAGTGGAAATCAAAGGAATACAACAATGTTAGAGATTCACTAGAAGTATAAGAACATCATGCTATCGGTGAATTCAAAGAGAGACTCAATAAGACTATTCTTGAATTTGCTGAACAAGGTTTAAATTCTGCTCTCTATTGGGAAAATCCAAACCCATAAGAGTACATCAGTCTAATTCCAACTAGTGCAATTACCGGAGAAGGTCTTCCTGATCTTATGATGTATATCAGTTAACTCTGCCAGACTGTACACAGAGAAAAGCTCAGAGAAAAGGAAGAATTCGAGTGTTCAGTTCTCGAGGTCAAGGTTATTGAAGGTCTCGGTACAACAATTGATGTCATACTTGTGAATGGTCTTCTTAGTGTTGGAGATACTATAGTTTTATCTGGATTTAATGGTCCTATAGTCACTAATATAAGGGCTTTATTGACTCCTTAGCCAATGAGAGAAATGCGTGTTAAAGGAGAATATATGCATCACCAGAGTATTCATGGATCTATGGGTATTAAGATCTCTGCTAATGGACTAGAAAACGCCATTGCAGGTTCTGAGCTTTTCAGAGCAGCTAATGAGGAAGAAGTTATACATTACAAGGAACAAATTGCTGATGATCTTGTTGACATCATGGACAAATATGTTGACAAGACAAGTTCAGGAGTCTGCGTGCAAGCCAGTACTCTTGGTTCATTGGAAGCGCTCTTGGAATTCTTGAAATAAATGAAGATTCCAGTTACAGCTATTAACATCGGACCAGTTCACAAAAAGGATGTTCTCAAGGCAATGAAATCAATCGCAGGAGATATAGTTGAAAAAGAATATGCAACTATTTTGGCTTTCGATGTGAAAGTTACACCAGAGGCACAACAGTTTGCTGATGACAATGGCATTAAGATATTCACAGCTTAAATTATCTATCATTTGTTCGACTCCTTCGAGGAGTATGTTAAGAAGTGCAGAGATGATAGAAAGTCAGATGAAGGTGGCAAAGCTGTCTTCCCTTGTCTACTAGAAATAGTAAAAGGTGCAATTTTCAACAGCAAAAATCCAATTATCATTGGTGTTACTGTTAAAGCAGGCATCTTAAAGATAGGTACTCCTCTTTGTATACCAGAGAAAGGCAATCTCAGAATAGGGCACGTTGAGTCTATTGAGCTAAACAGCAAGCCAGTTCAAATGGCTATGCCTAAACACGGAAGTGTTGCTGTAAAGATATCTGGAGAGTCTTAGGTAATGATTGGCAGACACTTTGATGAAAGCAACCAAATTGTGTCTATCTTGACAAGAGATTCAATCGACTCATTAAAGCAATATTTCAAGGATGACTTAAGCAAAGATGACTGGAAGTTGGTTATTCAACTAAAGAAAATGTTCGGTATTCCCTGAAAATATTATTAATTAGATTTACTAAATTTATTTATTAACACTTAATTTGTCAATTTAGTACTTATTTGGGGTTTTGGGGTTTTGGGGTTTTGGGGTTTTGGGG